TTTCAGATGCTGCCTTCTCTATGTAGCCAGAATGTGGACCACCTGCCAGAAAAAGGCTGTATCATCCTGCGCCACCCGACCCCCAGTGCCCAATTCTGGCAGGTGAAAATCTAGGGCAGGTCCCAGGACTTGTCTGGTCACTCTCAAGTAATAAAAGGTCCACAGTCACTTTGGGTCACAGAAACGGTCTCATTTGAGTAACTACTATACCCAGTTCACTGTAAACCGATTCCAGGCGGCTCCCCCACCCCCACTGCCACCCCAGAGCAATGCCTCTCCGCACATGCAGGGAGAGGTGGTGGCACCCCCTAGCACACTCTTTTCAAAGAAATGTTCTCTTAACCCCAGCCTCTCTTATAGGCTGGGGGTGTGGGAGGGGTCTCCTGGCACTGTGTGAGATGCTTCCTCTTGGGGCTCTGGCCAGAGCTGAGATGAAAAACACCCGGTGCCAGCATCCTGTGCTGTGAATGGTGGCCAGCTGTCATGAAGGTCTTGACTTAGAAGGAGGAGGAGGAGGAGGAGGGGGAAGAGGAAACAGAGACCAGGATTTCAAAAGGAAAAGCCCCTATGGGATGGGCTGAGACAGGCCAGAAGCAGAGCCCAGGTTGAGTTGTTGGGGAAGGGGAGACATTGAATGTTCCACCCAGGCCCATGGGGGTGCACCTATGCCCCCATTGTCTGCAATAGCAGCATGGCCTGTGTGGGTCTGGGGGTGCTCACTTCCACTCAGAAGTCAGCTCTGGGGTAAGGGTGCTGGGCCCTGGTGAGGCTGCCATGCCCCACCCCAGCCACCTCCCTTCCCTTCCCTGCCTTGGGAGGAGGGTGAGCTCCACCCTGGTGACTCGTGGAGGCAGGGTTTGACACCTGTACTTCCCAGGCCACTGGGAGGTCAGGCATGGGCCCGTCAAGTGTGAGTGATCAGCCACTGCTGGATGAGATTTTTTAAATAATCAAGCATTTCACACCCCTCGGATGAGCAGAAAATTACAGTCTGACGCTACCAAGTGTGGCAAGGATGAGGAACAATGGTGACTTTCATAGGCTGCTGGTGAGAGCCGGGAAGGTCCAGATTTAGCCTAAAGCTTATACAATTTGGGAACCTTCTTTATAAGAGAATACAAAATGGGGCAGGGGCTGGGAAGGGGCAGCAAGTGGGGGTCCTAAACTTAATTAAGTGTCAGTCAGCCTCCCAGCAACTCTGCTCCTGCATTGTGCACCTCAGAATAACCCAGTGTGGACATGTGCAAACTTGTAGGAGGGTACTGTTTTCATAAAGTGTGAAAACAAAGCAGGGCCAAGTGTAGTTCACCACGGCCTAAGGGCCATCCTGAGGATGCGAGGAGGAGAGTAGCAGCGGAATATCCAGGGGGCCTCGAGGCTATCGAAAGGCTCTATTTCCTTAACACTACAAGTAATAAGGAGAAATATTAAGATCTGACAAAGTTGAGTAATAATTTCCCGGGTTCCTATTAAGTTATTTTATATACTTTTTTGTAATACTTGAAATATTTTTTAAAATTTAATTGAAACGAAGTTCAAACAACAGAAAACTAACCATTTTAAATTGCCTCAATGGCATTTAATACAACCACAGTGCTGTGTAATCACCACGTCTATCTAGTTCCCAAACATTTTCATTGCCCCCAAAGGAAACTCCATCCCCATTAAGCAATTGCTCCCTGTTTTCTCTCCTTGCAGACCCTCACAACCATCAGTTTCTATTCCATCTCTATGGGTTTACCAACTCTGGATATTTTATATAAATGGAATCGGACAGTCGGTGCCTTTTCGGTCTGGCTTCCTTGCCTTAGCATAGAGGGTTCAAGGTTTATTGACTTCATAGTATGTGTTAGTACTTTATCCCTTTCGATGGCTGGAAAATATGCCTTTGAGTGGATAGGTCACAATTTGTTCATTCGCTGATGGACACCTGGGCTATTTCTACCTGTTGGTGATTGCGAGCCCTATGTCCTTGTACCTGGGCAGGTCCCTGCTTTCAGTTTGGGTTATAAGCCTATGTGTGGAATTGCTGGGTCACATGGTGGTTTTTTGAGGTACCCCCAAACTGTTTTCCACCACAGGGGGACCATTTTACATCCCCTCCTTGAATACATGAGGGTTCCAATTTCTCCACATCCTGGCCAGCACTGGTCATTTTCTTTTTTTTAAAAAAAATAATAGTCATCTTAATTTCATGTGAAGTGGCACATCATTGTGGTTTTGATGTCTTTTTACTAATGACTGATGGTGTTGATCATCTTTTCATGGGCTTGTTGGCCATTTGTATAGCTCCTTTGGAGAAGTGTTTGTTCAAGTCTTTTGCCCATTTTTTAATTGGGCTGTTTATCTTTCTGCTGTTGAATTGTAACAGTCCATAATTAAAAAGAACTCCCAGGGGCCAGACGAGTGGCGCGATGGTTAAGAACTGGCTTAGAACGCCAGAGGGCCCCGGTTCGGATCCCACATATGAGGGCCAGTGACACTGCCCTCCACAGCTAAGATGCTGAACAACAGCTCAACCTGGAGCTGGGCTGCCCTGAGTCGCCGGCGACGGCGTAGGCTGCAGCCCCTGTGGCAGTGGGTTGCCATGGGCTACCATGTGTAGCCAGCAGCCAGCGTGAGCGGCCAGCAGCCGCAGTGAGCCGCCGTCCAGAAGCCGGTGACTGATCTGCCTCGCCCGGGAAGAGCACAATGATGGTGCCAACTTGAGCCAGTGAAGCAACGTCCTCCACAACTAGACTGAAGAACAAAATGACAGCAACTTGTCTGTTCCCCTTCCCCAATTCCCCAGTGCTGTTCCCATCCCCCCAATTCCCCAATTAAAAAAACCCCAAAAAACTCCCAGGGTGGCAGCACTCCCTCGGCCCTTTAACCCTCTACCTTGCCCACATATCAAGATTTAAGATGCAGACAGCTTTATAGTTACAATCTGTGTAGAAGGAATCTTACAGGACTGTGTGTGTTTCCTTCTCTGCTCCCCGAGACCCCCTGTGAGCCCACCCCCAATCTAGAGTTAGAGAGTTAGAGAGAGGCATACAGGGCTCTCAGAAATTGGGGGATGGGGTGGGGAGCAGGGACTGAGGTGGAAGAGAAGAAATCTTCTAAGACAGCTGAGGGGGAAGTGTCGCAGCAAGGGAGAATGACTTCATCTGGAAGCCCCCCCCCCCCCAACCACCACCACAGGTCACACACCGTCCTGGAGGAGCAAGTTTCTACCTGTCGCTGGCCGATTATACTTCCCACACCCTGTTCTTGCCTTTCACTAGTCGGGGCGGTGTGGGGTCCTCCTGTGGCTTCCTCTGAAGATCACCCTGTCTGGCTGGGCTGTTCCTACCCTCAGGGGCACCCCTTACCCTAAGCTGTGATACCACTGGGCAGCAGCCCCTTCTGTGAAGCCAGGCCCTGCCCTGCCACCACCTGCTGTCACCAGAGCTGCTCTCATGAGGGCAAGAGAGGGAGGGTGCACCAGGACCCTTTGCAGGGAACGCACCTAACACACTCTCTCATGAGTCTTGTTATGACACTGACCAAACAGCTACACAAGCTGAGTGAGCCGTGAGTTAGAGACACTGAAGAGATGCTAGGAGACCTTCTGTTGCTTAAAAATGTCTCTGCCCCCTCACACCTCCCCCTTAGCCAGGAAGCCCTGCCTTTGTGAAAGCAGCACAGTAGCCTCTAAATGAAGTGCTCAGTCCTCGTTCCCAGGTTATGGGAACGGCACACTCAATTTCAGAAATCCAGCCTCGGGTAAGCACTGGCTGAGTGCTGAATGGAACCACGGAATGAGACATTTGGGGAAAGAATATTCCAGTGGGTGCAAGAGCCCCTCCCTACTCTGGGTGGGGGTGGTGTCCCTATCTATAAATGGTGGGGTGGGCTTAGGGGTGTCCAGGGCTTCTTCTAGTTTTCACTTCCTTGATTCTGGCTTGCCCCAGGGTTTGAAGTCCCTCTGGATACACCCAGATTTGGGCTCAACTCAGCTTTCACAAGTTCAGAGATCCGGTGGCACCAGGTAACCTGGGCTCCCTCCGGCCTCCCCTCAAACCCTCCGTGGATGACAGAACCTGCTCCCTTTGGTGGTTACCATCCAGTCTCCATCAGGCCGGAAGAAGCTGGGTTCCTGTTTTGAAACAGTCAGGTTTGACCGATCTCTTTCCCAAACAACTCTCCAGGCAGCCACCTCTGCGGTGAGGGTCAGGAAAGGAGACTCCAGCAGCAACGCTCCGCACCCACAAAATACACACAGCACACCACCTCCCAGGTTAGGGCCTGTGGCCCTGGGGAGACCTTACCATTCCACAGCTACGGAGGAGCTCAGCGCTCCAGAAAAACGAGGGACCAGCCACAAGTGTGGAGGCCTTGATGGCTGCTCAAGGTCAGCCCAGATTGGAAGGCTCTGCCAACCCCCTCCATCCCCGCACTCCATACACAGGGCAGGATGACTGCGGTGGAGCAAACCACCCGGCCTGTTTTATTATTTCCAGGTCAGAGTTGTCTTAAATACGTTCACTCGCCAGAAACTTTCAAAGGCCAGAGAATGATTCGGCTTCAGCTCCTCCCACGCGACACCAGACCAAATCTCCAAACCCCAGCGGGTGCTGCTCAGATTTCTTCTGCTGATTTTAAAACCCGAAATCCTAACCCTGGAGAAAGCTGGGCACCTCTAGGCGGACGTCGCTTTCCTAGCAGAGCTTCCTCCGTGCCGCCCATGCCAAGCGGGTGGGGACGTATCTTTTGAACGCGCGCAACTAAGGGACTTGGCCCACTCTCCACATCTGACCCAGGCTGCGCGTTTGCTTTCCCCTCGAAATCCTGGAGACTGTGTCCCCCAATTTTCGTTAGTCTAGAAGGGACCAAGCGACTGGAGAGGTGGAGGGGTCGGGGGAGACCCTCATCACGCTGGCCCCGCTCCCCGGACGCTCCCGGGACACGCGCAGCTTGCAGATCTGGTGCGGACGCCCATCCCGCCCCTACCCGGCGCGGGCGCACCAGCCACTCACAAACTCGAGAATGAAGAGCAGGTCGGGGAAGGTGGTGAAGACTGCGAAGCCACTGGGCAGGGAGCTGCCCCCTGACGCCGCTGCGGGGGCCATGCCTGCGGGCTGCGTTGGCTTGGGTCGGGACGCGCGTCTCCGGCTCCGCGCTGACCGCTCGCTGGCTCAGTGGAGCCCAGTGGCTGGGCGCCCCCGCGCGCGGGTTAAGAGCAGGGGCGCCAGGCCGAGGAGGGAGGAGCCCGGGCCGTCGCCTGCCCTGCCCGCCCTCCGGCCGGGCGCGCCTCAGGGGACCTGGCAGGAGGGCGCGCTGCGGGCACCGCCCTGACCCATTCGCAGGGCGAGCTGCGGCCGTGCCGAGCGAGGGCGAGGGCCTGGCCCTGCGTCCCACCTCCCGAGCCACCTCCCTCGGGAGCAGGACAAAGTCACTTAGGTTGTGCACTCTTCGCAGGTCATCACTATCCCTTAGGAATGACAACCATCAATAATTATGCCCCTCAAATTACCCACTGTAGCGCCCCACGAGTCACCGTTGCTTTAACTGTTCTTAAGTTGGGTCCCTTCACCTTTCCAGGGCCGGGTGTGTGTGTGTGTGTGGGGGGGGGCGGTGCGTTAATATTAACGACCTCCTCGTCCAGGCTTACGGTTGGATGAGTTCCTAGTCCTGCCCCCTGGGGTCTGCAGTGAGAGCGCTGAGACCAGCTCTGGCCACCCACTCCTTCTCCCCACACGCCCGAGGCCATCACCAACCGCTCCACTATAAGCTGGAATTGAAAGTCTGTCCGCCTTAGGGTAGGAGGTCGCTCTCAGTTACGCCAACCCTGCAGCAAGTGCTGGGACAGATCTGCATTGAGCCCAAGGGACAGGGGACGCTCCTAGAGCAGATTTACCCCCTCCTCTCAGAGCAGGCAGCCAAGTCTCTGTGATGGGAGGACTCCCCCCACCCCACCATGTCTTTCAAATGCCTATTAACTGGGGCTTTTTATGTGTTTTTTTTCCTGGCCCACAATTTCTTTATTCTTTTTTTTGCTTTATTTCTAAGCAAGTCTCACACTTGGAGTCATTGCCTGTTTATTTTAATTTAGGCACTATTACCAGGGCATGCCCCCAGATCAGACCCCGCAACACTTCTGTGGCTTCACCCACAGCTGGTAGAGGGCACGCAGCTTCCCTCTCTCCACTGGGATCCTCACCCTTTCCCTTTTACACAGCTCTTTCCTTCCCAGTCCCTCTGGAAAGAAGCAAATTCCTGGACACATTTTCCAAAGCAAAAATCCTTGCAGTGAGCTGTGCATTCTGATCACTTTGGAGAGAGACCAGGCATGTGATATGAGAAAATCCCTCTATACCTCTGTGAGCTTCCTCAGGGCTGCTGGCCTTGGTGGCCAGAGACAAGTGGGGCCATTGTGCCAAGGCCTGTTGTCCCCTGCCAAGTGCCCAGGGCAGGACCCCTCTGCCTGGATGAACCTTCATGGGCACATGGGCAGTGAAAGTGCCAGGGGCCTCCCCCCAGGTCCTCACCCACCCCGGCATCTTACACAGTTGGGCCTGCTGGCCCTAGGACGATATCTCCTTCCTCCTGAGGGAACTTTAGTGGAACAAGCCTCAAAGCAAGGCCATAGGAAGCGAGACAACTCTGAAGCAAATCCAGCCCCTTGGCAATTTCTCCATTGGTATTCACTAATTAAAAAACATAAAGGTCATATCAATTTTTAATGATTTCTTTGCCTGGCCTTGAGATTGGTTTGTGTGTGTGTGTGTGTGTGTGTGTGTGTGTGTGTGTTTTCTTTGTTTTTTTCGCTAGCTATTTCAAACTTTTGTTGTTAAGTCCTTCAAGCATGGGCCTTGGGGAAAGTGCCTGGTGTCCCTCAACAAAGCTGATTGTTAACCCCAGACCTCCCCTGATAAGGCCTAAGAGGCCACAGAGTGTTAGAAAGCTGCCTGGCCCAGTTCAAGGAGGCTTGTCCCTTTCTCTGTGCCCCACTTTGCTCCCCCGTAGTCCTGTGCTTGGGGCCCATCGTCTTGCCCACGCTTCACCCTCTGCAGGGTGGGCCCCACCCGGGCCCCACCCCACCCCACCCCACCCCACCCCACCCCATCAGCCTGTGTCCTTCCAGGTATGTCATATCCTCAGCATCTAACCGAGAACCCAGCCCATGGGAGGTGCTCAATACATGCCTGTCCAGTGCCAGCATGGTCCCAGCCTTGTCTGTGCCTGACCACAGAGGAGGAAGTAGGGGGACTCTGTTTGGACATAGAGAGTACTGCAAGCAGAGACAGATTTGTCTTCACATCACTTCACAGCAGAGCTTCCAAAGGAGGCTCTGGGACACTTGCTGATGGTTCATTTTGATAAGAGGCACAGGACCACACTTTGGTTTCCAGCAGGATATGAAAAAACAACCCCAGCCAACAATAAATCATGGCAGGGTCCTCAGTCTTCCAAGCGGCAGAGTGGGTGTGAGTGTGGGGGTCAGCCTGGGCTGGATCTGGAGCTTTGGTCAACATAATAACATGGCCTAGAGTGGGCATATACAAAGTGGAAAGTAGAAAGTGACATAGCTATGCCAGCCTGAGGGAAGAAGAAGTCACCTCCCGACTATGGGTGGGAGGGGATTGAGGGAGAGGAATATGTTCTGGGAAAGATCCAGGGGACAGAAATTGCCAATAAATAATACCAGGTGATTTGCTCTTGAGGTCTGTAGAATGACCCCATTTGACTAACGGGGTAATGGAGGCTGAGAAAGGTTAAGTAGTAGTTGCCCAAGGCCACACAGCTGCTGAGGGGTGGGGCCCAGCCTGGAGCCTGAGTGCTGCTGGGTCTCCAAAGCTACAAGCACTTACAACCATGCTTAAGGTGGGCATTGGCTGTTAGATGCTGTGTTCCACGCAGACCGTCAGCAACCGCCCGCATCCAGCCTTGGTGGTTCATTTCAAGCACTGGGCTTGTTCCCCGAGGCACCTCCTCCCAGCTGTCAGAGCTCTGGACCCTGACAGGGAACAGAAGTTTGGAGGTCACCATTCCTGTGTATGGTTGGGGAAGCAGGAGGAAGGCCGAGGTCAGAGCTGCCTTAGGTCAGCATTTATCCCAACCGATCTTGCTTGTTTCACAGTCACCACAGCCCTGGATTTCCACCCACAACATGAAGCAGCGAGGGTGCCTGCTGGACAGTTGGGTTAAGGGCAGTCACAGTGGCGCTGACCCTAGCCGACTAAGTGCCTGACCTGCCCATGGCACTTAAGCACTTTGCCTACATGACATCATCCTACAGAGCGTTTCTGGTAGGTGTCACCCACTGTACAGGCACAGAGTGGGGAGGGGATGTGCCCAGGTCACAGGGACGGTAACTGGACTCTTGACTCCAGCGGCACGATCCCCACTGCCTTTTTCCCTACTGCCTAAAATCTACACACTTGAAAACTAGAGGTGCGGCTCCCCAGAGAACAGCCCCTTAATGGGCCAAGGGGACACCTGTGCCCTGCTAACTCCAGTGACAATGAGCCACTGCATGTGATCTTCTTCTTGTTCCCAACCTCTTCTAGGTTCATGTTTCCTTGTGCAGGGGAGGCTTGGTGTGCCACCACCACCTGAAAGAGTCACCACTGAGCTCCGGGATTCAGAGCATGCAACTAACTGAGACTGGCGTGTCTGGTTATCTCAGGGACAGGGACATAGGGCCGAGGGCCTGTGAGTCCCTGCTCCCTAGGTGGGTTCCACTTAAAACGGGACATCACATGAAGTCAGTAGACACCCAGACTGGGTGCTTTTCCCATCTCTGTAAATGCTGAGAGGTGGCACGTGGGCCAGTCACTGTACAACAAGGTTGGGGTGGGGACAGGGTCCAATTTCCGAGCACCTCTTGGGAGCACTGAAAATGTAACAGTAACAGAGGCCCTTGCCCTCAGTTCCTCATCAGTCCCAGCTCCGTAAGCGCCAGGAGACAAGAGTAGCTTAGGAGCAGTATGGACGTGGTCCCTGCCTGTTTGAAGGTTATCACGGGGTGCCAGATGCAGGAGACAGGCATCAACCAGACACCCATAAAATAAATGTGCAATAAGGTTTGGTGCTGGAAGGACAGAGCAGGGAGCCCCGAAAGCACCTGCAAGCATAATCTGGCTCGGCCTAGGGGCCGGGGGAGCTCGTGGGAGACAGTGAGCGGTGGGTAAGTGGGGAGGGTCTTCGGAGGAGCATCAGGCACTGCACCACACACTGCCAGGGCTGCAAATACAAAGACGGAAATCCATACTAATAGTCTGAGGCTCTCAGGTGGGGGCGTCCAGGGTAGAAGAAAATAGAGGCAGTGAGCTCTGGAAGAAGGAGGCTGGAAATGATGGGGACAGGGTCACTGGAGGATGGCTGTGCAGGGAAGAAAGAGAGAGGATATGCCAGTGTAGAGGTCCTGGAGGCCAGAGAGCTTTGATCTCTGTGGGGAGCAGGGTGGCTTGTGGGACACAGCTGGAAAGGCCAAGGGCAGGCTGGGCTCAGGAGCAAAGAGGCAAAATTCACAGGTTGTAAAGTGTGCATCAAGCTTAGTCATTTTCCCTGTTCAGCCCAGAAAGTCATCAGACTCCTTTTGTCTGCCCCAGAGAGGGCCGGACGCTGCACCCCTAGACGAGAGCCAGGACCTGCCCAGCGAGTTGCACTGGGAATTTGGCCCAAGTAGCCCAAAACAACAAGAAACGTCAGAGACGCAGAGCAGGGCTGGGCCCCTGGGTCCTCGGAATGTGGTTTCAGCAGGTTTGGGGCTGGGTCGCTTGCTTCTGAGCGAGCACCTTCCTTCGAGGTTTCCCTCACCCCTTTGACAGCATTTGCCACACTGCATGCTTCTTAGACCCGAAGCAGTGGCTGAGTAAGTGTCAGAATTCAGCAGGTACACTCTGGAACAGCCTCTGCCCCAGGCCTTTCACTTGCAAACTCATACTTCTACCCAGGCTTCCTCCCAAGGCCTCCCCATGGGGACTGACTCCTCTAGAAAGAACCCATTTTCTAGAGAAGACACTGGCTTCCAGTTGTTGAGAAAGTAAGGGAAACTTTAACCTCCCACCTACTGTGCCAGTGGGCTTTGTCTCGCTATCTTTTCTTTTTAGCATTTCTGTTTTCTGTTGGAAAAAACACACACTTAGGAAATGTACAAAGGAAAGTTGTGCTCACGTCCCTGATTCTCCTAAATCAAGGTAACTGCTTCCGTCTCTGCAAATTATCTTTTAGAGCTTGTGAAGTGG